CATATTTTATAATTAACAGTATCAAAGTGACCAATATTACCGATAATAAACACTGCACAAATTTCTAGTGGGTGCTGCTCTCTGGCCGGCATCCCTTGGTCAGCTGATCGAAGGAGTCGGCCAGAAGACAGCTGCCATTGAGCTGCCAGCCCTGTACGAGTATTTTGACAGCAGCCAGTGGCCGGTCAGAATACAAAGAAAAAAATAAAAACATCAGATAGCAGGGGAAGCATTATCTCCCTTGCTATCTGTTCTCTTTCAGGTCCACTGCTGCTGATCGACAGCAGCAGTGGGCGGGTGCAATAGCCAGCCAGCTATTGGCTATTGCAATTTGCAACAGCAGCCTAGCTATTCATTCACATGCTGGTTTTTTTTCCTGTACTCTGCTGGCAGCGGCTGTAAAAAAAAAAAAAAGCCAAAAAAGGGGAAATTGGCAGATAGTAGGGGAGCTAATGCGTCCCCTGCTATCTGATGTACTAGTAGTAGTATTGGTGTTGATACTGAGCATTTGGGCAAGTACTCGTACTCGCCCAAATGCTCCAATACTTAGGCCGATACCGGAACTTCCGGTCAGACGGAGATTCCCTCGGACCGGTGTTCTGTCGAAAGATCCAACTTGTCGAGATCTCCAACTGGTGATGTCATGTACGGTGACTGCCAGTAGGAGATTGAGACCAGATGGAGCTAGTGCACGTGCGCCAGCTGTCTTAGTGTAAGAATCCCTGTCAAATTCTAAAAATGCCCTCACTGCGCAGCTTTAGAGTGTGTGTGCTCAGCGAGGAGGAGGCAATAATGTATTTTTTTATTGTAAGAAAGGGGTGCGTGAAGCTGGCTTTCTGGCTAATCAGGAAGCCGGGCGGGGGGTCATCACCCGCCTCCTGATTGGCTAGGAAGTTGGCTTCAGGCTGCCTAGCAACACTGCAAGGCAGCCTGGCTTCCTGACCAATCACCTGCCTCCTGACTAGTTAGGAACCCAGGCTATTCTACAGTGTTGCTAGGCAGCGTGAAGCCAGCTTCCTAGCCAATCAGGAATCCGGGCGGCACGTCATGACCCGCCTCCAGGCTTTCTGGCTGGTCAGGAAGCCAGGCTGCCTCGCAGTGTTGTGAGGGAGAGCATGAAGCCGGTGTTCTTTCGACAGGACACCGCGCTTCCCAGGCAATCAGGTATCTGGGCCTCATGACCGACCCGGCTTCCTGATTAGCCGGGCCCACGGTACCTCGGGATGCTGGTATTCGTGATCGGTGAGTACCGAAAAAAAAAAAGCCTGAAAAAACACTATTGGTGCATCCCTATTAAAAGGATATTTGTGGATTCTATTTTCCATAAGCAATCATGACAGTTCTCTTGGACGGACACATTTAGGGTTAAAAATGTAATGTTTGCTCAAAATCAACTGTATGAAGGCAAGCAGAAAAGGAATATAGACTGAAGTTTACAAAGGTGTAACAGAAAAAAGGAGAAGAAACTGACAGATTTAATACAAAGTTCTGTGGCTTGGACATATTAACATTAGGAATTCACCTAAAAAATTGATAGGAGAAATCTAAACCATAATCCAGTATTTATATTGCATGAATACAATCAGCAGAACTGACATACAGTATGTTATGAACTGAGCAGCAGAATTTACCATTACATACGGAATGTTCCTGTCAGCATCTGCAGTCAAGATTTTGCATGCAGACCACAAAAGGCCCTTTGAGGTCTGAAAAGCTGTACGTTTATAAGGGCTTCAGTTAAAACAACAGTGCAGGCAATAGCTTTTCTCACCTGTAGGAAGTTCTGGCTGGACACAATAAGAGCTAGCTGAGCGCTCAGATCCTCAGCTTGTGCCTGGCTTCCCCGCACTCCTTGGACCAACTGAGGAATGTGGTCAGCAACAATCTGCAGAATCAGTGATTTAAAATGTTTCATCAGGTAATTTAAATCACAAGTGTCGAGGTGTATACAGCACATACTTCATTCATTTCTTCAGGATTTGTTCCTCATTTTCTAGATGCAAATTATCTGAAATTTGAAGTACCCTGTCAGAGGGTTATCAAAATTACAATCGAAGTACCCGGTAAAGAAAGCATTATACTGATCTGGGGGCTCTTTCTGAAACCTCACTTTGGAGCACACCAACCATTACCGATCCGATTTGACTCCTTGAGATGCAATAGCATGTTTCCCGCTCACTGCTTTTGTGCCTCCTGCTGATCCCTAGTCACTGCAGGGCACAATAATGACACAGGTGTTGGCAGGAGGAACCATAGTGGCCAGTGATGGACACACTACTCCACACACCCACACACACGTGTACTAAGATCAATGCTGGGAGCTCTGAACAGAAAGAAGCTTTGGGCCGCCAGCAAAGTACAATACTGCTTTTTTCACATGGTACATAATTTTTTAATTTTACTAACCCCCCGACAGGATCATTTGCAGGTGCAGTTTTATATGCGCTTACCGTATTGCCCTCCACAGGATGTTTTCATGGCAAAAATGTTGTGTCCTAACACATGGGCTAGTAATAAGTGGCAGAAAGTGTGCACAGACTATTCAGCATGGGACAATTTGCCACCAAACTGCAGAATCATGCACCCTGCCCCTTTCAAAGCTCCTCTAAACAAAATATCGACTGCAGTTTTATAGATTACTAAATCAAGCCATTCATACTGTGCTTACTGTGAGCTGTATAAAATTAAATAGTAAAAGCCACGCTGTGTGCATGAAACTGCAAAAGTGTCAGATATAGTAGATACTGACCTTGAAATAATGTGATACAATGTGTAAAAAGTGCCAAACAAATAAGAAATGCATGTATATACCATGCACCTCAGTGTAAATGCATTGCTACAAAATATCCATAATGGAAAATCAAATACAATAGATGTGAACTGTGAAACAATGTGATGTAATGTGCAAAGAACAAATAGAAAAAACGCATGTGTATAATATGCACTTCAGTGAAAATAATAAATGGTTAAAAAATGTCCATGATCCTGGATCTTCAATAGTCCATTAGGAAAATAGAAGATAAAAAACATTGGATGTAAAATAATCTCAGTCTCCTTTGACCATCAACAGAAAAATCTTCTGGAATGCACCTCACCTTCATTGGACCCCTGATGAAGTCACGCCCTTTGACGTAACGTACGTAGGGTGGAGTAGAGGAGCTGAGCGATTCCACACAGTCTCTGTGGCTGCTTACTAAAAACCTTATTCTTATCTATGATATGTGAGTAGTATCCTTTTTTAATAAAGTCTAGTATCCTTTTAAAACCATCTGCACTACGAGTCTCCACTTTTTATTTTGATGCATGGGCCTTTTGGATGAATTGTCTGCTTTCAACTCCTGAGACTGCAAGAGAGTCTGTACCTGAGAGGAGGAAATCACAGGGAGGTATTCGGCATCAGGTGCTTCCTCTACCTGGTTTGAATTAGAGGAACAGCGCATACAGACCCTGGTGGGTCTCTGCTAAAGGTGAGGTGCATTCCAGAAGATTTCTCTGTTGATGGTCACAGGAGACTAAGTTTATTCTACATCCAATGTTTTATCTTCTATTTTCCTAATGGACTATTGAAGATCCAGGATCATGGACATTTTTTAACCATTATTTTCACTGAAGTGCATATTATACACATGCGTTTCTTCTAGTTGCTATTCTTTGCACATTACATCACATTGTTTCACAGTTAACATACATTGTATTTGATTTTCCATTATGGATATTTTGTAGCAATGCATTTACACTGAGGTACATGGTATAAACATGCGTTTCTTATTTGTTTTGCACTTTTTACACATTGTATCACATTATTTCAAGGTCAGTATCTACTATATCTGACACTTTTGCAGTTTCATGCACACAGCGTGGCTTTTACTATTTAATTTTATACAGCTCACAGTAAGCACAGTATGAATGGCTTGATTTAGTAATCTATAAAACTGCAGTCGATATTTTGTTTAGAGGAGCTTTGAAAGGGGCAGGGTGCATGATTCTGCAGTTTGGTGGCAGCGCGGCTTTTACTATTAATTTTATACTATATATCTGACCACACAGATTTCAGCTGCTGCTTAACTTGATTGGAGTAGTGGCGCGAGGTTTCACATTTACTGTGAGCTGTATAAACAAAAATGAAAGCTTATTTACCTGCGCCAGGAACTCAGTTATATTATAAATGAGGAATTATAAGTACATTTTAGCAAAATTGAATTTCCATTTGCCTTCTGTAATGCAGCAGTCCCTGAAAGGATCTTTAAAGAGTAATTGCTCTTTAAAAGAAATGGTCTCCCTAGCACCCAGTTTAAATTAGTAAAGGCCTCTAATAAAGACAAAACCCAAAGTCTTAACGTTTTCTGGCGTGTTGTGAAATTGTGCTTGCAATGGATCTAACCATAAAAATAATGTACGCTTTAAGAGCATGCACTGGTCGCAAGAATGAGATACCCATCATTCTCTTTTGCCAAATCCAGTCAACGTTAAAAGATTTCCAAAGGCTGGCAAAGGAAACCCCAGGCCAGGTAAAGGAAACAGATGTGTCTGCATTTGAGGACTACAATTTTACTAGCGAATTTGCTGAGGAAGGCATAAGTCTGGGCTGCCAGTTCCATCTTAAATTTTCCTTACCCAACACTTAGCTATAGATCCTTAAAAACAAATCAGAAACCTGGTATTTAAACTTCCCTCAAATAGGCAAACAGTTTATTTTGCTCCTTCCATTTTATGATTATTATATAAAAGTGCAAGTATTTGTGGGAGATTTTTTTTTTTTTTTTTTACAGATGCAAAAGTACATTCCACAATGTTAAACTCTAAAGTTAACTCTATGATTTAAAAGCAAACATTGTAGCCGAGTACAGTAAGTGCATGGTTTGTCAGGAAATAAGTGTTGCTCTAAACACAGTTACCTTGCAGCTTTGAACCAGTTGTTGATGGGCTGCTACATTTTTATTGGAGACCGAAGCATTCTGCGAGGCTGCTATGGTCTGGGTAGCAGCAGCTGCAGCCTGTTTAGCAGCAGCCTGTAAAGGATGAGAAGAGACTTAATGAACCAATTCTTATGAACAAATACAGCAATTGCAGTAGAAAATAAAGTGCATCTAAACCCAATAACAAATGAAATATTTTGCAGATTACCAGTCCTTGAATGTAGAGCCTGCATTCAATGTATTTTTTCTGGCTTTTATTCACTGTGTGATCCTGCCAATAACACACTTCCAGTGTTAGGATGACAATGATCACTCATTGCACTGAATCTATAGAGGAGGAGTATGTCACCATAAAGCAGGGAGTGGGTTAGCACTACAAAATCTACTGTTGCCTTAACCTCCATAACATCGACAAATAAACCCTATCTTAACCAATGACATAGCAAAGCTACCACTTTACATCATTATCTCTCGCCTCAACCTTTGCAACTTCCACCTGATTTTGCATGCCTTTACAGACTCCCCACCACCTGGTCTATCATGAATGGTGATGTTAGACTTATCAACCTTAACGACCATTTCAGTGTCCGCCGATGCCTCCATTGGGTTCCCAATAGCCCACCATGCAAACATTCAATATATTCACATCACACATAGCCATCTACAACTCTGACATAAGCTACATCAACACCCTCATCTCAGTCAAATAGGCCTCTTTGCTCCTCCCAAGCAAGGTTTCTGGCAGGATCAACTGTTTTTTTTTTTGCATCAGACAGCTATAACAAAACACTTTCAATTGTATATTTAAGAAACCAAAAGAGAACAAAAAAACGTTTGGAAGTTAACATATGCTTTAATAATTTGATAGGTGTAACGGTTATGGAAATAACTTTCAGACTTAAACATTCCTGCCTATTCTGGCACAATACCGCAGGAATTCCTATGTATTCTAAGCTTCTTTTCTATTTCTAATTTGATTATCCATGGTGTGGGGCACCATCATAGATTTGGAAGTAAAAGGTTTTGTGTATCGGACACTAACCAAAATATATCAATTTTCTCTTAGAATTTACATATCCCTGATGCATTTATCTGACATTCTAAAACACAGGAAAGATCATTTGAAATATATATATATACACACACACACACACACACATATACACATACACATATATATCCTTTATTATAATAAAATTTGGTTTGTACAACAAAGATAAGGACAAAGAAACGGCAAAGTATTCACTCGTACAATGGCTCATTTCCAGAAAAAAAAGGAAACAATATTAATCATCAGATGCATGAACACATGTAAACAGTTTCAGTAGAACGAGACGTGGAAAACTATAATAGTACAATAACATAATGCAACCGAGTACACAAACGAAGAAAAGCAAAAGAGACGGAAAAGGGAGAGAGGGGAAGAGGACTAAAAAAGAAAAAAAAAAAAACCTCAAGTCCCCATGATACATTCATATTCTTCAGACAATATTCTTCCAATAGAACCAACAGAGAACTGGTAAGATCCTCTATATCCTTGGTTCTCAACAGGTGGGTCGTGACCCAAAAGTGGGTTGCGACCCCATATCCAGTGGGTCACCACATGCCTTCCACTTTTCTAGATGAGACTCCTCAGCCTCCCCTAGCGCAGCACTTCAGTTCTCACACCGAGCAGCCATTCAAAATGTGCTGCCCAGCGCAGAGTGTCAGCTTGAGATGGACTGGGCTGGGCTGGGGCTATGGCCACGATAGAGCTCCATCCATACATGCATTGCTTATAGCTCCCTTGCATACCCTGGAGTGATCACATTCTGGCTCCCGGCACATCTACAGGCATGCATGGGAGCTGTACAAGCAATACACATATGGATGGAGCATCACAGCAGCCCTCACTGGACCGCAGGCTGAGGATCCACTCTAGTTTTCGTAAGGTAGGGAGACTGGATGGACCTTAACAAAACCCCCCAAAAAACCAATTATGTCTGTGATTGTGTCAGTGTTTTTGGGGGCCGTTCACACTAGAACAGTGCGCTAATCACACAGTCCCATGCGATCGATTAACGCACTGTACCATGCAATCGCACCTACCTTCCGTTCTGGTGTGGGAGGTGTGTTGTATTCATGCCATTCATTTAAAGGCCACCCCAAATGCACCTCTCACCCACAGTTTGGTCACATGCACCGGAAAGTGCGCTTCATTGTAGCATGACTTAATGACCGAGGATAAATGTGGGTCCCAAGGTCACACAGGTTGAGAACCACTGCTCTATATGTTTAATATCATTCACCCTGGAGAACCAGAGCTCAACCATAGGGGGCGACCTCTGTTTCCACAACAGCGACACACACACACACACACACACACACACACACACACACACACACACACGGGCTGCATTTACCAAATGGATGAGCACGGAAAGTTTATAACTCCTAAAAGAAAACGGAGTGTGATGGAGTAAGAAAAAAGCCGGGTTATCGGGAACCAAGTGATCCCTGAACTTCTGGGAGATACTCCTCACCTGTGACCAAAAGTTCCGGGCAGGACCAAAACATGTGCAACATAGGGGAGGAATTTCAGCGCCAACATACATTTGGGGAGTTGGGATAAATCTGACTAAGCCTGTGAGGGGTTCTATACCATCTCGTAAGAATTTTGTATCCCAGTTCTTGGTATTTATTGCAGATAAATGACTTAAGAGGCAACAAATGAATCCTCTCTGAATTTGAGAAGTATACCCCCCAGATCCCTCGCCCACCATTCCAAGAAAGGCAATGGGTCCTCCAAATCAGAGGACAATAGGAGCTTATACCAAAACAAGAGGGATTTACCTAAAGGGTCAGAGTCTATACAAGTTTGTTCAAAAGGCAGAAAGGGGTCTGATTAAGGGAGCTGCCGAGGGAAGAGATAAGAAGTGCGATAGTTGAAGGTGTCTCTAGAAACCCCAATGTCCCAAGAACTGGGTGTGATGAAAATGTAACTCAATACACAAAATCATATAAAAATATATAAAGCCCAAAAAGATGACAGCTGTTAGTAAGATCAATGTTATAACTAGATAGTGACTACAGTAAATTTCTGCACCCCCTGCGGCCCTCTGGATGTGAGATATGAAGAATTAGAAGTAACCAAGCTGGACCAATGTAAGTTTAAAAAACAAATTCCTGGAGTTCAGCTGTAATAATGCTTTATATGGTTATCTCACCTCAAGCCTGTTCACAATCTTCTTCTTAATGGCATTTTGGGCTGCTGCATTAGTAGCCACTCTTAGTCCCTCTGCTGCTTCTCTAAGTCGCTGTTGCTGATCTTCATTTTCAGGATTTGCCGCAGCTCCCTGAAAATAAGTCAGACTCGTCACCTCTCTGTAGCCACACAATCAGCAAATCCACTATATGCATTTTGCTATAATATATACCTTTGCAGCCTCCACCATACGAGCTGTGGAATCAGCCAGCAGCTTGGCAGCTGCAAGTAGTTTCTTGGAATTATCCATATCTAGCTCAGCTTCTGCATCTGACCTCATTGCATTCACAAGATCAGATGTAGCTTGGGCCAACACTCGAGCTTGACGCACCATTTCTCCTTTAAATGTAAAGAACACATTTAACCAGCATATGCAAATAAAGCTTTGACAGGGTTACGAGACAGCCCGAGCTAAAGAAAAACACATGTTTAAATGGAAACATTGCAAAGGAAAAATAAATAAAGATACAAGACATCTAAACCCCACCACCATATTTAGTACCCTGAATGAATGATTTTACAAGCAATGACAAAATGTATTATTTACAAATAGTGGGTTATAAGAACGCAATATAAAACATGATAGTAATTCTTTGCAATGGTCAGCAAAACCAGCTTTCTGATCATCTGGGGAAACACCACCGCTATAGGTAACGGCAGGTAACGGGGGGGAAAAAAAGAACGGTACTCGATACCGGTATTGGTGCATCCCTAATATAATGAAAGGAGAATGGTTTTATTGAAAAATTTTAATAGCATTTTGATGGGGGTGGGGGTGGCTAGCGAGAGAAGGCAGACCGGGGAAGGCAACATACGAACAGACTAAACTTTAGGTTTAATTATACTACATACTCATACACAAAAACAGTTTTATTAAAATCATGCTATTGGCTCCACTAACCTGCATCACCCATAGAGCTGAAGATGCTTTCTGTGACTGACATTATTGTGTCTGTAGCCTGGTCATAACGTCCAATGGGTTCCCCGCGACTAGCATACTGGCGGACATGTTGCAGAAGATCATTAAGCGCTTGGCTGACCACACTGGCAGCTGCACTGACCTGCTTCAGTAGTTCAAGATCTTCAGTGGCTGACTGACATGCACGTACACAGTTATCTACTGATCGGTCCACCAACTTTCCAGCCTCAATCAGCTGCTCCTGACACACTGGTGAGCTAATAGTTGGACTAACCACCTGCAACAGAACAGCACATGTAAGCCAATGATAACATGATTGTGTAGCACAAATCTGAGAAAAAGCAACCACCAAAGAGTTAGTTAAACAAATTATATAGCATTTGTATGTATGTAAATGGCATGATCTGTGGAATCGACTATAAGGCTCACCTTAGCACAGGCCACCAGCTGGGAAGTAGAGAGGGCACACTGAGTAGCAGCAGCAATCACTCTGTTTTGCTGTACGGTATCTTCAGTCACCTGTGCTACATTCTTGGCCTTTAGGACTAGCATGGCAGCTGCATTGGCTACGGCTTTCGCCAGGCTCATTAACACATCCTAAAGCATAGAACACAGTACAGAATTATAGCAGATGACATGAATGGGTCAGAAATCATCTCTGCCAGCAATCCTTAGGTACCTGGAACCTCTCATCTGCTTCATTTTCGCCAATCTGTCGTAGAAGGTCTCCGCTTGCTTGTCCAATACTGCCAGCTGCCGTAAGAACAGTCTGACGGGGCTGTAAAGGAAATAAAAACAGAGTAATTAGTCTACTGTTTAAGCAAATTGTTAGTGCAGCCTACCACTGATACATATGACCTGTACACTGATCTATGCCAAAACACAAATATCCTAAAATTAACAGTATATAGCAACATACAACAGCCCAGTAAGATCATGTATGGCTCTACCATACACACAATTTATGAGACTGAGCATCAATATTTAAGTACACACCCTTTTACCTTTTAAAAGTAACCATTAAATACTATTCTAATGTGTTTATAGTACTGGAATGATATAACACATTACAAAAAAAAAAAATCAATCTAACTGTAGGCAGACTAATAAGGTATCCATAAAGATAGTATCTCTGCCCTTTTTTCGGTATGACAGCGCTGAATGATCATTCTCGCAGAACATAATAAGATATTACAAAAGTTTCAGGCTCCGGTACAGTCTTTGCACGGCTCTTTTTCCTACCTCGACTGCCATAAACAGGAGTGCTTACAGACAGAATAGGACTAGAATGCTCGAGTATAGGAGAAAAACTGGAAAAAAAGACCTGGTGAGATTATTGGACCATACCAGAACAATTATTTTGAACATCTATGGCCAGCTTTACTATACTTTGCAAAACAAAAGCTGGACACACACCAGTTAAATGTTCCTTGGGTATGATCTGTTAGATATTTACAAATAAATATGTACTGTAGGGCTCACCTACATGTATTGCTCATGCTACATACTCAACATTTACTACATGTATTTATATGGTGCCGTCAATTTAAGCAACGCTTTACACATTTACATCAGTGCCTGCCCTCAAGGAGCTTACAATCTAAAGTAATCTAAGGTCCCCATCTCACATACATAAAGGGTCAATTTAGACAGGAGCCAATTAACCTATCTTTGGAGTGTGGGAGGAATCTGCATCTTCTTGCAGATCGTGTCCTCACCATCTGATTCAAACCAGGGACCCCCAGTGCTGCAAGGCAGAAGTGCTAACTACTATGCCACTGTGGTGCCCATTTTATTCAGTTTACATGCAACCTGGAAGGCACTCACCCTTCATAGTTCCTGTTTTTTTTCTGAACTAAGAGCAAATCTGAGTAAACTGAAAAGTTGGGCATGTGTGTTATAAACCAATCATGCAATGTCTTTTAAATTGATCAACTATAAATTAAGAGAACCTATTTGTACAATACAATTCATTGTTACCCATTTAGCTAGGCCTTCATACTGCATAGTGAGTGGACAGCATACCTAAAGTAGATTGTATAATCATATTGTATGGACAGCTTTGCCAGTCTGGGGCCAGACTTAGGCCTCAATCAAACTAGCAGTAATTAGCTGTATTACAGCCTTTGTATACAGGCTCTCATTTGTGTCTGTGCTGCTTTCCTTACTTATAGAAGCCAACGTGAATGCAAAAGCAACTTGAAGCAAAACAAACCAACTCAGAAGTACCGACTACTTGCTACAAGTTACTTCTGAGTTTGAAGCCCTCCCTGTACAGAAGGCATTACTATGAGTGTGCTAAAATAATTGTATTGTTAATAAATAGTGCTGTACAAATGGGTTACAAATACATGATTTATGTGCAATACATAGCAAGCATGTGCATTTCTGTTCAGTTATTATGCAGGAAATGAGTCTGATATGACAGCAGCTGATAACAATCCATGTGAACTGATGTTAAAGCAATAAGAAACCCACTGATTAAACTTCTTCTTAAAACAGTTACATGCAAGACATAATTCAAGTACTGTCACAAAGCTGCCTGTGTGTCTATGACTATACTTTAAGCCCTCAAATAGCTGGTGTCATAGCTGATTACTTGTGCAGCATAACGGCAAATGCAGATTGAAATAGTGGCTAAGATGGCACTGTCCTAGGCTGTAAAGGATAGGCAGGTTTAGTTACGCTTTACTTGATGTAAGAGTTGAAAAAAGCATTAGAGTACAAAAATAATTAAAAACTAAAAACATTATTTCAGGCGTAAGTTAAGCCTTGTTTGCTGCCTTTTAATATCAGCTGGTGTAACCATGGGAAATTCTGCACTATTCATAGCTATTGTCCCTATAAAAAGCTCTCTACTTAAATTAGGTTTACCAATGTGGTTTTTGAAACAAACATCAGAAGTTCAATTAAATCATACACCACGGACCTCTCCTGAAGATGGCTGTACAGCAGTAAGCAGATCAGAAACAGCCCCAGCTAGTGTTCTTGCAGCTCCAAGCAACTTTTCCCCACTTCCGACCTCATCCTCCATAAGAGCAGCCAGCAATTTTACGCCTTTGGACATCTCCGTCAAATTAGAAGAAATTGTGGTGATGGCACAGCCTACTGCTGTATAATCAGTCTCAGCCGGATCCCCTAAAAACACAGAGCAAACTGCTAAAGTACTGCTTTGTAGACAGCAAAATCACATAATGCACATACACTGTGAAATACAAGATTATACAAAGAATAAAAGGACTTTTTCAAAGAGGAAAGGACAGAAAGGTAGATGGGCTTATTTTGTATAGTTCAAATGCAATACTTGTGTGTTAAATGCAGCAACTAACTAGATTGATATGAGTTACATAACCCTGTGCATTATTATCTTGTATATAGAACAAGAGCATATAAAAAGAGTTAAATTATCAGTGCAAGAAAGAAAAATGGCACATTCACCACACTGCTGATTTAAAAGATAACTAAAGCCAAAACTTTTTTGGGGGCTTTAGTCCTCTTTTGGATCACAAGATTAGATTTACTAATGTACTCCTGTGACCCAAACCCAGCATATAGTGGGCTACTGCCTGCTATATGCTGACAGTGCAGAGCCGCGCAGCAGCCGGCAAGGGCCCCGGCAAGGGTCAGGATCCATCCCGCTGCCTGATTGACATCTGGCTCTGCCCGCCCCGACAGTGGCGACTGACAGTAACCGTGAGCCGAGCGATGAGCACTTTGTAAATGCTCAGTTCTTGATGTATAGAGCTGGCTTGTAAAAACTGCAGCATCACACACCGACTCGAATTATGGGGAAGTGTACATTTTACTCTTCCTATGTAGGAAACTCTTGCAGGTAGGAAAAATAAAAATCAGTTCCTGTTATTTACACAAGTGACTGAAAGCAAAATGCATTTGAAAAAAAGATGTAACGTAGGTGTGTTCTTGTAATGTTTTTGTGCATTGAGATGCATACAGAGACTTCTGTTTTGTCATCATGCACTGCTGTTATGCATAAGGTCCCACACTGCAAATTACATCCAGTAATCTGATGTTCTGGAAACTAACTGTTGAGCCAATTAAATATTCAGGTCACATATTGTAGATCCTACCCACTGGCTCCTGTTTATAGCCTTTTCAGACAGAAAAACATTGAAGATTGTAGTTGTTTAGTTGATGAAGGCTTCTACACATTTCATATTGTTAGTCTTCAGAAGGCACATCCAGAATAATATGCTTTAAAAGGGCTTTAAGGGAAGCCCGTAATGAGGATGTATGGATCATTCCACAGCTTCCCCCTTGTGAAAATACCTGTTCACTGGATGTATTCTGATGGCTTTAGTACTCTCCAATTCACTGATCCAGAATATGCAGATTAGCAGATCCAGATTTCCTGATCCACATACTTTTTTGGAGTTCTAAGTATTAATAGCAGGGATCAAGGAAACAAGAATTTTCACAACTTGGTCAGAAATGGGAGCCAATATATTGTTCTCTGCACATGTCTCTGATGCAGCAAATTACATCTTTTAAATACTGGTTAAGATGGATGGGGTTTTGTGATTAGGCATTATTTTCCATGACCTATCCATTTCAGCCTTTTGAGTCAATTCCAAATTAAGGTGCAAATGAAAAGTGAAGTGACTTCCTGTATTGCACAGTGCAAGAGTCCAATCTGTGGAAATGCGGCAGGGCGAGTGCAATTATAGTGACCAAATTATGTCACTTGCCCAGAATAAGAAAGCCAGTAAACACAGAACTTCAAACTTGTTCCGAATCTGTGAAGCAGAAAACACTGAAGCCAGTGGACGGGCATTACAGTGAGGGAGCTAACATTTACAGAATGAGGGGTGAGAAATGGCAGTCTCTGTATAGCTCTCAGCACTGGCTTCCTTAATTAATAGCCAGAGAACACAGATAAAAGTTGTTTGGTAAATATACCTGCAGTCAGGTTCACTACAGATGCTGTTCCCGCAGTAATGGCATCCACCTGGGAGTGAATTTCATGTTTCGACTCGTCCACTTTGTTTTGAATCCAGACCCTGGAAGCCTACAATTTTTATATATAAAAAATTAAAATAAAGAAAAGCACTGCTAAACCAGCAAGGATGCTTACTGTAGTTTATACTACCCTGATGCCCATAAGCATTTCAAGGGTGACGGAGAACTGCCAAAGATTTATGACACATCCTTCCCTCAAATATGAAATCTTGTCAACAAAATATATTCATCTACTGTTCATGTAAATGAAGAAATCACATTCATTAGGTCCATCTTACCATGTCATGTCCCAGCGGTGGCAGATTGTCCACCTGGCTCAGATCATCATGTGCTTGTTGAACTGCATGCATGCTGGTATTAATGGTTCCCATCAGAGCCTGCTGAGCTGAAGTCTGTACAGGAAGAAAAATTAATTATTTCACAAATTGCTATCTGACCAAATTGCAACTCATGCAATGAAGGCAAGAAACATTTCACAGACCCCCCTTTTTATTAGGTCAAGTTTCCTTAAATAGTCAATTGCAAAACTACACACTGGCAGCTGTTATGCCTCATTTCTTGTAAACCTATCCTGTTTTACCTTACAGTGTTATCCATCAAATGAATCTGTTAAGTGGGAACAGAGGAAATGTATCATTTTGAATTCCCATAGTATACACATGTTTACAGATTACTGCAAATATTTCTTGCTGTGCTTCTTAAGTTGATAGATTCATTATTTTTCCTTCAGATAAGAAAATAGGTTATGAGACAAATTATTCTGCTAATTTGTGTTGACATATGGTGGGGCGGTTTAGGATCAGATAAATTAAAAGAATGAGCCTAACTAGGCATTTACTAAGTCAGCGACTTAGATAGGAATTACTACAATGTTCCCCTAGAAATTAGTACAATGTTCCACTAGAAATCAAAGAAAAACTGCAAAGAAACAGGTAAGGGGGCAGAAACTGGAGCTAGGCGAGAGGTTAAATACACTGCATATATAGTGGAGAACAAACAGAATAGATCCCTGATTAAAGAAACCTAACCTAATCTGTCAATTTTAACTATAAACATTGTATTTTTAGGGGTACTGTTAGTACTATTAGGTAGGGGTTTGTTAAAAGCTAACACAAACTGCTAGTGACAATAATGTGTAGACCCAGGAGTGTACAAAGTATAGATGATGGCCCTGGTGAAAATGATCATGTATTTATAAAAAAAAAAACCTCTGTACTGATATGCTTTGAAGAAATGGCAAATACCCCAAATAGAAGATGAAGTCAGTGAGATCTACTCTGATTGTCAATTACAATTGCCTATGGCAGGCAAATACAATGCATTACATATTGCTCTCACATGCCTTCAACACACGCCAGCATCCTGTTCTGCACATACTCTTAAGTTCCTATTTATCATTGTTACAAGAAAAGAAAACTGATGGCAGGTGTGTCAAGTAACATGCAAAAAAAGAGAACTTGTGATGAAAAACTGCACAGCACTTTTTAAATGTTTACATTTTTTAAGGTTATATAAAAGGTTTTATTTTATAAGCTGTTCAAAATTCCACTCTAAAAGTTTTGTCTTCCAGTATAAGCTGTCAAATGGATAATATCACTATGATTCATTTGTGCCTCCCATCCACATAAGAAGTTATTCTGCACATCAGGAGCCTCCTCCTTTTACAATACAGCCCACCTCTCACACCAGGAGTCCACCCTTTCATATCAGAGTCCAACCTCTCATATCAAAGTTTCCCCTTCAAATCAGAGTTCTACCATTACATCAGAAACCACAGCTGTGGCAGCATGCCAGAAGGCGAGAGGCAGAGCAGGCCTGGCCGGAGGCAAACACCCGTCCTTTTCTAAATTAATCCCACCCTCCCAGGATTAGTGTTATTCGAGTACATTTGATTCGATTCCTGGCAGTCAGCCCACACCATGGAAAGACATGATGCTGACTGAAAATTTCAAGGCACCCCTGAGGAAGCCAGAAGACAGCCTGGTTGAGAAAGGCTGCCTTAAGAACTGTGTGGTCATGGATCTTGACATTCATCAGCCTGGTTAGCCCTTCAGACACACAGGCTGCATTGTCACATGCCTGCATAGAAAAACTCTAAACAAAAGGTATTTACAGTGTGATTAGGAAATGTATGTAGGGAATATAACAGCAATGGGGAGGCAACATTTAAAAGGTGACATATTGTACTGACTTTTCTAAAGTATACATATAGCCCAAAAACTATTTTTTTTTAACGTTTTGGATAGACTATGGAAGAGTTAAAATCCCTAACCGTTTTTTTCTACCATTGGGAAAACTTCACTTCCTGTTGTCCACACTTTCCCCGACACAGATGTCCCCATTGGAAGATTTCTGGGGACAACTGAAAAAGTTTAAATTTCTCCTTAATTTCTAGGTGAAAACAGTCAACAGTACAAATAGAGAGTGAATCTCTTGGGGACACAGACAGCAATAAAAAAAAAAAAAAAAAAGTTAACAAAAAGGTTTAACCCTTCTCCACTTTTTGCCTAGATATACACTTTACTTTGCACAAGCCTTAAAACAATTAGATCCTTATTAGAAATTCTTATGTTCTCTTATTTTCTGCTGTTGCATTATGCAAGCCACCTCATACCTCAGACAATTTCGTGGATCTATTCCTAATCTTCCTGTGCACAATTTCAATTATCAGCGTGTGTTTACATAAGTCTTTTTTGGTAATCCATGTCTTACTGTCAAATTTCACCATAACATGTATGTCCATTTATTTACTTTTTGTTCTGCCATCTTCAGGTAAATTAGTCTCTGCATTTTAAAACGTTTTTCCATGATAGACTCTTGCAACAGTCTCAGCTGTGCTTACTCTGAATAGTAACAGCAGCCCTTCATGAAGCTAATTAGCAGAGTCACTTGATAAAGTATTTATTTTGCATGACTAGGTGCCATTAGGAAACTGATTGATTGCCTGGAGCAATGAACTTTATCTAACAGCATATTGTTACTAAGAACAAATGTGAACAAGCAAATTACACAGGGGAGAAAAACAACCTCCTCTGTAGATACACTTCACAAAGAATCATGGCTATATTTAAGACTTATTAAGATAAATACATATATATAAAAATACTATAAATTATATTCTTTCTTATTCATTTTTGGGATAGTCTTTTACTGAAGTTACCTCCTATCATTTCTATTTATTCTACAAACACAAATTAACTTTAAATACAGCAGCTTACCAGGGGTGGCATGTGACCTCTGTGCATCTGGCCTGTAGTAAGTTGCTGCTGTGCAGATGGCATAGTACCCATATTAAAAGTCTCTGGGCCACTGGATCCTGAGCGTATAATAGCAGGTAGTGCAACTGTGCCATGTTCAAGCTTTCCGGGACGGGTAACTTGCTGCTGCTGAAGAATTGTTGATCTGAAAAAAGAAAATAAACTTACAAATTAAGGTTTGATTCATGGGAAAAGCTATACATCCAGGTATAAAATGTTTTCTAGCTAGTGACAGCACTTCACTAGATTTTTGAGTTGGTTGTAAGGCCCTATTTATTAAAGAAGATTTACACTCAGCCCCATAGTTCGGGCCGAAGTGTTACATTAAAACTGTCACACATAGACTCTATAGATCGGGAAGTGACCAAACATTCTCAATCATCTCCCTGCAGAGAGGTGACTGTTTGTCACCTCTCCCCGCAGGGACTCCCCCATCTGATCTTCTAGCGCTGAGTGGAGGAACGGCGTCATGTCTGCATAGGCCGGCCCATCTGCATTAGAGAGAACTAGAGGGGGAATTTGTGGTTCAGCCTGTGGAAACTCATAATGTCAATTTTTAAATATTTAATTTTTATTCTTTATAAACTTTTTAATTTTTTTTAATTCATTTACTTTCAGCAAAATATATATTGCTGAATACTGCACAAGTTGTTTTGTGTAATAAATTAAAATGTTTCAGAAATGAAATCATTTTTGGGTCACGCCTTAATGACCAAGGGTCCCGAGGTTACACAGGTTGAGAACCACTGCTCTAGATAGTCAGAGCCAGCGGTCACGCATGCAACTGGGTGGATCCAGACAGTATTGTCGGGATCCGTCCTGGCTGTGGCGCTCTCAGCTCTCAGTATATCTTTGGGTCACAGGAGGACGTTAGTATATGTCCTCCAGTGATCCAAAAGAGAACTATGGGATAAAAAGGTTACCTCATAGTTCTGTTTTAAGCAGTTTTAAATATTTTTATACCCACTTTTTTGGAGAAACAGATTCTTCTAACATTGTAGACTCTTCATCTCCCTCCAGTCCAAATCGGTCCTTACTTTGTTTCTGGGGACAGGTGAGAATTTAAAATGCAGTCAGAAACAGTACAAAAGACTTGCAAGCGATATGCAACATAAAATACAAACAGCCCTTAATACAGCCTGTTAAAAATGTACCCTAATTTCTGAAGCTAGGAGGGCTGCTAATGTGATTAAAGTACACAAGCCATAGACCAAAACATGCAAACTATTATGTGAATGCTTGCTACCACCATCATATGATAGAATATTTCGAGGAGGAGATAACTTCACACACACAGCTCCTATAAGTTGACATTCTCCCACATATGTTCTACTGTTAGCATATCAGTATCTTTCAAAGAGTAATTGTAACTTTTTACATATAAAGTGTATTTTTTTCTTCTTTTAGTAACCATACTGTAGTGATGGCTAGTTTAGATGTAAATGGATCTTAGTGAAGTTCTTTAAAAACTGAAAAAACTCTGACCATGTGACTTACAAAAATAAAGGATCTATATACAAGCAGCTCAATAATGGTCTTAAAGGGACTAAGGTGGAAAACAAGGACACCTACCTTCTTGAGGATGATATCAATGTACCCTGCAATGAGCTGTGATATCTGTTCCCCTTCAGTGGTCTGCACAGAATAATAGCTCTCCTGATACTCACCAAAGTCCTGGAAAAAAAAAAAAAGACAGGCTGTAAATCAGAGTTCAGTAGGGAAAACAAGCAGAGAAGTAAAAAACGTACATCGATAAAGCAAGCAAAGTAATGGTAAAATATTTCAACTGTATGGATAAATGCTATAATCAGATGCAGATGATAAAATGATATAGACAGGGTTACAATAATTTAAAATACAAGCTGCAAAACATAAAATAAAGCAGTGGTCCTTTAATTGCTTTTAATTTAGGAAACAATGAGTAGTACATTTGAAGTGGTAGAGCAAAGCAAACTCAGACCAAAATATTGTCATGTTTAAGGTGTGGGGGGTGTAATCTGTTTCCTGTATACACAAAAGATAGCACAATATAAAATTTTAAAAGGTATATTTTAACCAGTATAAGAATATGGAAGCTGCCAGCATACATATTCTCCAGATTAATTGTTAAAAGTATGCAAGTATGTCGAGCCAAAATCTTTTTCTAGTGTGTAACAGCGTAGAAAATGGATTAGGACACCCGTCACGTTTTTACTGCTATTTGGAAGTCTGTTACACAGAGTTTTGCCCTTACTTCCCATCTGGTAAAACAGTTATTAGCAGAACAGGAAGTGAGGGAAAGCTTGCAACAGGGACAGACAGAAATAAAAACCTGGCAGGAGTTCCATTCTTCCCCAACTACTAAAGAAAAGTACTTTTATTTATGGTTGTGTTGTTCCTGGAGAACTCCCTCACTTCCGGTCTGGTAAAACATCAGCAGGACAGGAAGTGTGGATAAATCTCTCCAACAGAGCTCCAAATAGCTGAAAAAACCCAACAGGAGTTTTTACTTCCCCACTCCATCCAAATGCTATACTATGGTCTGTGATCTTATGCCATGTTTTAATTTTTTCTAATTTTAGCTCACTCCATTCACATATAAATCTATGTAGGTTATCTGTAACTCTTTGATCTAAGTCACCTTGTGATTTGGGTTTACTGCTTATTTTTTTCATAAACGTATTACTGAGATCTCACAAAAAAATTGATTCATACCAAAGTAAAGCTTTTTGGAGAGGCAGCCCAGCGTTTAACAGTTGTGAGTGGCCACTCTTGAATTACATCCTTTGTTTTCTCATCGACTCTCATTACTGAATCTTTGGTGATTCCAAGAAGTCGTGGCACAAGCTTATTCTTGCCCTTCATTTTCTCCTGAAAAGTTTAAAGTGAAGAGAAGAAAAAAAAAGAAGGTGCATGCACCCAAGGTGAAACAGAGTTGAACATATCAAGTAACTATCACATAGCTATATTTTTAATCAACATACAAATAAATAAGAGGCCTTAGACCAGTATTTGAATACTAGCGAGCATTGTTAACAAGGCCTGTCCTTACAGCGCAGTGCTCAGGGCTACATGTCACAGCGATACTGAATTACAAGGTCAGCAGAAAACACAGACCAAAAAATGTGCAGGGATGTGACTTGAGGGAAAGTGTCTAGGTTAAATAATCACTCCTTAACAAAAGATGATAATTGGGTAAGAAAGCACCAGGGGAGATAAAAGTTTTGAGATGGCTTAAAGTGCATAAATGGCAGAAAGAATTTGCCATGAAATCAGTTTTTTTTTTCCTCCCATGACACAATCCATTTGTAGAGGAAAGCATTGAGCTTTTTACACTTGGCCAAAGCTGACACCAGAAAACACCACAAGTATGGTAATGCAGACACAGGGACAGTAGGGGGTAGCACAGCATGAGGGTTGAAATAAAAAACGGTTACAAGGCAGTAGCAGCAACCTACCTTGTAATCATAATACAATGAGATGTATAGTGGACCTTTTGTATGTTGGCATAACATTAGTAAGCTTCCTTATTGGTATGAAATTTAAATTGATAATTGCTAAATAATGTGTGAAATTACAGTTACACTGACCAATAAACAGGAAAGTGGTAGAGGAGAATGAGCGTAACCATGCGCAAACACATAGATGTGAATGTGTCATAAAGCATACACTCTTAAGTAGACCAGGACACCTCTTTGTATAGTATTTATTTATTGTTTCTATATATAACAATACAGACATATAAACATGCTGTTAAAAGACTCTCCCAGGGAGAAATCCAATCAAGATAGTCATAACTTCTTCCTAAAACAGCCAACATAAAGTTCCCTTCCCATTAGTATTAAAACCCATTCTTCTCCCCTAGTGGTCTCAACTAAAAAAAAAAAAAGCAAGGGAAACAACAACAACAACAACCCAAAATCCCTCCCAACCCTAAACCACCTCTTATTAGACAACAGGGCTGAGCATTATTTCTTATTTGCCTTTTTTAGACCTCCTTAACTTTGACATGCTAAGGAGGCAGGGCCTCACACAGGGTCTCAAAGTGTATGTCCAGCCAAAACTTTTATTTGTTATTTTTGGATAGAGTAGGAAAGGGTTGGAACCCCTGTTATGTTATTACTGCTATCCACGGTCCATTTGAGAGATATTGCCCTCACTTCCTGTCCTGACAACTTTCAAATTAAACAGAACAGGAGGGTAACTCTTCAGCAGCAACACAGACAGAAATAAAAATGATTTTCTTAAGTGGCGTAGATCCCCTGCCAGATTTATATTTCTGTCTGTGTGTCCCTGTTGAAGATTTCCCTTATGTTGTGTCCGGTGACACTGTAAGCAGTAAAGGAAATCTCTCTAACATAGCCACAGATAGTGCTAAAAACATTGGCTTGACATACACTTTAATGAACACAGTTCCAGTTCTAAGCATTGGGATACCAAACTCAGCAACTTCTCAGTTTTTCTAAATGCATAATAAAAAGGTATGTTTCATGGCCACACTGGAAATGGTGCTTCATGGAGTTGCCTCCCATACACTCCATGATTAACAAACAATACAAACCTTCACTAGAAAAAAAGACACTCCATATGTCCGTAAAGATCGAGCCAGTTTCACATATTTCACTTTAGCTTCTATTTCAGTCATTTCTCCACAATTTTTATGTTCCTGTTGGTCACAACAGAAGCGGAACATCAACAAATGCATTACAATAATACAAACCATTCACAAAATATATTTTAAGTGCCAGCATGCTTGCCTAACATCTGACCAGGTATAGAAGAACAGTGTTACTATGGTTTTAGATACAGAGCCATCTACTTTGTCAATTCTTTAGCAGGGTTAGGCAGGGGTGTGGAATTCCCATCGCCCAACGGCCAGGACATGCATTTTCGGGCGCCAGGCAGGTATTTTTTTTTCTACATTTAGCCCTGCTGCAAGCAAGCAGCAGGACTAAATGTAGAGCAGGGGAGCCGTTTTGTTCAAGTGATCACTTATATGCAGCCTGCTTGCTAGCCCCTGTGTAATAGCAATAAAGTTAAGTAGGGAAAAAAATTTAATTAAAAAAAAAATGAAAACAATTATAAAACGTTACAAAAATTAAACTTTATAAAAGTTTAAAAAAATTATTTAAAAAGTTATAAATAAATAAAATACAAACGCACATTGAGTTATTGCTGTAGATGGGGGTCAGAGGCAGACCCTCAACAGCAGATTAGGTGGTTACCCAAAAAAATAAATAAACACCTTCCTGCCCACTAGTTTAAAAATAAAAAAAAATATATATAAAAAGGTTAACATGTTTAAAAAGTAAAAAAAAAAAAATAAGAACCATAGGAGAAAAACATACCACATTCTAAAATTGTTCCACACTAAAATTGTATTTGTGAGCTACAAACTCCCAAAATAAACCAAAATCCCAGACATATCTACCCTATAAATCAGGACAAATAAAATAAATTATAAATTACTTCGTTAGCTACACTAATTATGTACACATTATTATTATTGCCAAAGCTGTAAAAAATGTGGGGGGGTTTTTCTTCATTTTTTTACATTTATTTATTAAAAAAATTGTAAAAAGCATGTCACATCCAATTACAGCCCATTTTGTCCTTTAAAAAACGGTATATAATACGTGTAATGCATGAGGAAGATAGAAATGATGGTTAAATAAACAGAGCAAAAATTGCTCCGGTCCCCAGAAGTGAAAAAAAGTTAAGGCGTTAAAGGGTAAGTTCATTCACTTTCCCAAGTACTTTGTGGAAAATAGGATTACCAGCTCAAATCTGGCCCCCTCACCATCCCTGCTATACTTACCTTTCGGGGAAAGGTCCTACCGCTCCGCCGGTACGGGTGTACTATCTTTGCCCCATACTGCTGTCCTGCGCTATGGATTTGAACTTCGCTCACAAATTGCGAGCACTGAGAAGCACTTCTTAGCACTGTTAAAGTCGATTGTCATGAGGGACAAGCAGATTGGGCCTCTGCTTTGGTCCTTGGCCAAGAAGTTCTTTTTAAAATTTCCACACCCCTGCTAGGATTTAGGTACATGCTGATACAGATAAAAAAATAGAGGACGAGCTGTTTTATTAAAACTATTTTCTATGGTTATTAAACCAATTCAGGTTTATTTGAAATCAGTTTCTATAAATCCACCCCAGCATATTCACAAAGCTCATCGGGAAACTGAAATATTTTTTTTAAATCGAATACAGTAAACACCCAACTGTAGTTTCTGGTTCCTTGAGAATCAATAGCAGCTTTCAAGCATCTATCCATGCGGCACCCCGCAGCGCCATTCACCTGCCGGCTAGCTTCCGCAGCCTACAGGTGAATGCAAGCAGCCGGGAGCATTGCAATAGCGAACAACAGGATGGCTATTGAAGCCCCGCCCACTGAGCACAGGAGAGAGAAAATGAATTTCACATTTCTACATTACCTGGAATAGTTTCTTCTCTGCTCCTCTTTGTTTGATATACTCCTTAGGAAGGAACTCTTTCAGGCTACAAATTGACAGAACTCAGTTAAGTCAACCAAACTTTCACACAGCACACACTGGTGTGTATTTAGGTAAAGCACACGTTTACTACAGTCCCAGAATCTCCACTGACAAAAAAAAATAATTTACCCCCCAACTCCTCCAGCTGCTTTCTCTGCAAAATGCATGATACAAATGTTGTAACAGACAAACCTTAAGGATCAGTGCAGCTACAGATATGACTAGATTATTTTTCCAACTTATATAAAACAGGCCCCATAGAAGGCACACATTTGTTACATGTCTGGTACATGATGTAGATAGATTTTCAGCACTGATCATTTTAAATTGCTGTTCCAAATAGCCAGTGGCTCCACATTTGGGTAAAATATTTAATCCACACAGAGTTTTGAAGGATTAGGTACCAAGACAATTATGCAGACTGCCATTGCTTTCTGAAAGATGTAGTTGCCTTGTTGTCAGATTGGCGGTTTTGACTTTACCTACTACATGTTTATTTTAGGTCAATCTGAGAATTTATCAAATCAAGTGACATCAAGAAAGCTGATATCAGAATGGTTAGCAATAACATCTTCTATACTTTGACTTCCTTAAAGCAGAATTCTGGGGGGAAAAAATATTAACCCTTGCAGTGGGGCTACCCACTGCACCGGTTAAGTGCTCGTTTTGGTCTGGGAAGGAAAATAACAAAGTTATACTCACCCGATCCTCAGATCCAGTCAGCTGTGACAGCACTCCCTCCAGCCTCTCTCCTCCTCGGCTGCAGCAATGGATATCCCTTAGTGTCCTCACGTTCTATACACTGTGTACGAGTCAGGGACCTTAGACCGCTTCAGCGGAGGAGATAAGAGGCTGGAGGGAGCACTGTCACAGCTGGCTGGCTCTGAGGATTGGGCAAGTATAACTGTAATTTTTCCTCCCTAGACCAGAACAAGCACTTAACCATTGCAGTGCAAGGGTAGCCCCACTGCAAGGGTTAATAATTTGCCAGAGTTCTTAAAAAAAAAAAAGAATAACTAGCTAATAGTTAGCCAATGCTCAAAACTTTCTACACTAATCGAAAACTAGTAAGGTATAATACTCTTCTAGTAAGAAAAATGACATAAGGCACAATATGAAAATAATACCCCCCCCCTGCCAGAGTTCTTAAAAAAAAAAAAGAATAACTAGCTAATAGTTAGCCAATGCTCAAAACTTTCTACACTAATCGAAAACTAGTAAGGTATAATACTCTTCTAGTAAGAAAAATGACATAAGGCACAATATGAAAATAACACCCCCCCCCCACCTTATACAATACTAAATAAAAGATGAGAAAGCAGAGTTATACTGCACTCCACAAACATTGAACAACCTTTTCTTCCTAATTAAAATGTATGTAAACTGCACATAAATTACTCAAAGTACAATATAGAAAACCAACATAAAATGGACAGATCTGTAATTAAAAACCACAAATGGCCCAGGGTACCCGCACAGTCATACACACACAGAGATAGAAATCACCTATTATACAGGATTTACATAGTGCCAACAGTTTGCGCAGTGCTTTACAATATAAGGAAGACATTACAATCACATCACAATTCAAGATAAAATGGTAAGAAGGGCCCTGCCCATGAGAGCTTGCAATCTAAAAGGGAGGGGCAAGTGATACATGAGGAGATAGCTGTGTGGGGATGAATTGTTTGAGAACGTGATGTATGAGTGGTTAGGCTGAGGTGTGATAGGCTTCCCTGAAGAGATGAGTCTTTAGGGAACACCTTAAGGCAGTCAGGGTGGGAGATAGATGGACAGGTTGGGGTAAAGAGTTCTAGAGGATGGAAGAGTGAAGTCCTGGAGGAGAGTATGGGAAGAGTTGACAAGGGAGCTGGAAAGCAGGAGGTCTTGGAGGAGCGTAGGGGACGGTTAGGGTGATACTTTTGAGACAAGGTTTGAGATATAGCCAGGAGCAGAGTTGTGGACGGCTTTGTAAGTGTTTGTTAATATTTAGAATTTTATCCTTTGGGCTGTTGGGAGCCAGTGCAGGGATTGGCAGAGGGGGGTTACAGACACTGAGCGGTTGGTTAAGTGGATGAGTCTAGCAGCTGCATTCATGATAGACTGAAGGTAGTGGCAGGCCAATGAGGAGGGAGTTGCAATATTCAAGACGAGTTATAACAAGTGGATGAGTTGTTTTTGCGGTGAGGAAGGGGCGTATTTTGGAGATGTTACGAAGGTGAAGGTGGCAGGATTTGGATAGTGATTGGATGTAGGGAAGAAAGGTGAGGTCCGAGTCAATGATTACACCTAGCACCTTGACATGAGGGGAGGGAGGGAGGGATGAATGGTTGTAAGTTGTTCCTCCCTTGGGGGAGGAAATATCATGAGCTCAGTTTTTGAAAGGTTGAGTTTTAAGAAGTGTTGTGACATCCAGACTGATATGTCAGTAGTTAGTAGATTAGTGACACGCAAGGACACAGAGGGGGTGAGTTGTGGAGTAGAAAGATCGATTTGAGTGTCATCAGCATAGAGATGGTATTGGAAGCCATGTGAGGTTTTATCCATGCAGTGGGTACTTACCTCTCTCAAAACCCTACTCCACTTTTTTGTATTTTTGTATGTTACTTTAGAAAAGGGGAGAGATTGCCTAGAGAGCCAGGGTCTAGGCCATCCACACAATTTTTTCAAGCCATGTGAGGTTATTAACTGACCAAGGGAGGAGGTGTAGATAGAGAAGAAAAAGGGGGTCCAAGGACAGAGCCTTGGGGAACCCCTACAGAAAGAGAAAGAAGAGGGGAGTTAGATTTGTAGGCGACACTAAAGGAGCGCTTAGCTAGGTAGGAGGAGAACCATGAGAGAGAAGAGTCTTGTAGGCCAAACGAGGAGTTTTTTGAGCAGGAACAGGTGGTCAACTGTGTCAAAAGCAGCAGAAAGGTCTAATAGCAAGAGTAAGGAGTAGTGGCCATTGTTTTAGCACCTAGTAGGTCATTGGTGAGTTTTAGGAGGGCGGTTTCAGTAGAGTGTATTGCAGAAAGTAATTATATAAATGCTTTTAAAAATGCGGATATTTGCCACTAAACAGGAACCCGGAGGTATACACCTATAATATTGCAACTGTTCCCTTACAGATACACTACAGCGTATGTAGTCGCAATTTGCAGTTAACAAGAATCAGTTTCAAATTCTTACAGCAACATGACTTCCTCTACTAAAACTGTATGGCCACGTATCTTTATCTGTGGGAGTATCCCGGGTCATTTGTGGTTTTAAAGACGGATCTGTTTTATGGTGGTTTTCTGCATCAGGCTTTAGCTGGATGATTTATGTGGCATTAATAAAGTTGGTTTAATTGTTCTCGGAATACAGTATAGCTTAGCTTTCGTACTTTTATTTAGTACTGTATAACCTGGTTTGTGAAGCAAACTTGCAGGTAAGATGCATATGCATAACAAGTGATATATATATATATATATATATACACACACACACACATACAAGGTGTAGTGGTGACTTTTTTTGGTTAAATAGCCCCTTTATTCTTACTCTAAAAATCCAGGTTTATGTTTGGCTTCCACATGAGGTCCAAATTGAATCTGTGTTTGGATTCCCCCAAACTCACAGGCCTTGTCAAAAGACACAGGGTGAGAGCCATTCAGAATGTCATCACGAGCCTAAAAATTTGCTAGTACATCAAACTTGGCACACCAGCTATGCAAAGAAGAAATGATCAAGCTACAACCTAGGAAATTAATTCATGCATTTTACCCTATGTAATACCTAGATTCTGGGCTCAGATGGTTACCTGAACGTAAAGTAGGTTCAGTTGCACTGGATCTCTGGAATCTACATTCTGATCTGAATAGAAGAACTTCCTGCGGAGAAGTAATGTTTCGTTTTCATCAACTCCCTGCTCCCGAAATGTGCGACTATGATCCAGCCAATTTACTAAAATGTCAGTGAAGTGAAATAAAAAATATTTCAGAATTACATATAATACTTAGCTGAAAAACATGCAATGACAAATAAATCACCATACATATAGATTTTAGGAACAATAACAAGCAACTACTTGGGTACTTAGTTATAGGACTGTGTAGGTGAATACTCAATTGTTTTTAAAGATACCTATAAGCAGCAGATAAAGCCAGAAAACAACCTGATCACAAAAAAATAATAAAAAAAAGTATTTCTGAGACTGATTATAAAAATTTCATAACCAAGTGTTTATCTGAATTGGGTCAGCTTTGACTATCAAACTACATGCCCTGTTCAACTATTTGACCCTTTTGGAACGATGGGTCATTGACACCTACATGCCCACGCCAAATTTGTCACTTAACTTCACAATAACTAATTTGCATACTTAAATATTTGTTTTACACTTCAAGAACATACACTGTAAGGTTTTAATAGAGAAAACACTTTTCCAATTTTTTAATAGGCTGAAAAATGCACAGCAATATAAAAAACAAATCTGACTATACAATATAAACAGATAAACAATGTCACCTTCCAGCAGAAGCTTCATGTGCAGGTTGAAGGCATATTTTGTTGATGAAACCTCAAACCTGCATTTGCCCACTGTGCCATAGCTAACATAGCAATCTCATGATCAGGAACTACTATGAAGGGTTCCACATTGTCAGTGGGCACCGAAGCAGTCACTTACAGCGTGGTTGAGAGTCAGCAGCCATACAAGGTGCTGACTGGTAGATTTTTTAAAGGGAGCGCATTTGTTTACATACAGGATCCCCAGGGATGAATACCCAGTGATATACAGGATGTGGACAGCAAGGCGTTAAGAAATGTTTTTAAATAACTAATACTAGATGACATTCATCATCATGTTTGTGGGTGCCACAGTCTATGCAAGCATGTTCTCTTCATTCAGAAAAAACACAATCACTGCGCTTGGGAGTATAAATTATACCATTCAATCCTAGTGGAATAGCTAATTAAAACTAACCTACTAATTAGTTGGAAGTGAGCTTGAGAGTGGAGAGACCAGCAGCAGTCAGGGATACTGCAAACATGATGCGGATATTATTATACTTATTTCCATGAGAATGAGAGGACTTATCTCAAAAAGGACTAAAATCGTATTTGAAAGGTGGTGAGGAGAGTTAACCGAAGGGAAGGAGAGAGCTACGTCCAAGTAGTCTATCCGGCGGATAGATTGAGGAAGTGGAACGTAAAAGAAGATCATAAGGAATACATCGGGAGAAGTTGGTGGACACTTTGGGGACTATTGAACAACAAAAACTCACCCTTTCCTACCTGACGCCTCCGAGAAAGTAACCACCTAACCCCTTCTTTTTTGGACTTGAAAAAAAAAAATTGGTTAAGTTTTGTTTGAAGTGTTATCCAGATATTACATCTATCAATACCATCAATTTATCTAGAAGAGACCTTTTAGGTCTAATTCGCCCAATTGTAATATCACGTAAGGGAGGAATTTGGTGTTTAATCACTGAGGAGGTTCCATATATTAACGCACAATAGTTTGCTTATTTATTCCACCATCACAGAACTTATATTTATGAATTTTATGTACACAATAAGAAACCAATCCTTCACGTATTTGGTTAGATGAAATTAGTACACTGTGCATATTTATAGAAACGCATGTTGGCATACAATGTACAAAACACTTAGAGGGTGATTAATAGATTGATACAAAGACCTAGCGCAGCTTATGTTTTCTTAATTCGCCTGCCTCTGCTCACTCACACTCATCTTCTGTATGGAGCTTAGCTTTAAGTTTCTCCATTTTCTTCTCATCTCTGAGGAGAGTTCTGTCCTTCTTTAGAGTTCCTGTTGGTTCTTCTTTCTTCTCCTCAGTCTCACGGATTAGAGAATATTCCTCATAGTTTGTAATTCCTGGGGCACAAGAAATTTCAGTAGCTGATGCATATTAATCCATTAAATAGTTTTTCTAAAACATCCTAACAAACTATATTTTTCTAAATATGTTGCAATAGAAATCAGTGTCTGTAAATATACACAATCCTGTTGTGTATAATATACACAAATGCTTTTCCACTCCCAGTAGGTCCACATGCTTCACTTTGTAATAACACACGCACCAAAAACAATAAAACGTTTTTTTTGTACTTCTTTACCATACTGAAGACTTACCTACATGAGGTCTGGGACACTGGCAAACAGAAAAACGTTGAAAGCCAGCCCTCGATTAACCATCCTTTAACCATCATACTGCCAATAAACACATAAGGGCTCAATGGACTTCAAGAAAAAGATTTTATGGTAATGCACAAAAATCTTAATTTCTTTATCATGCATTGAGGGACACAGAATTCTGAAACATTTGAGATGTTCCAAAGCAATATAACTCCGTCCACAACAACCAGAAGGACCAATGCATGCATCCCAACCAGAAAAGATAAAAGTTCCCTACAGGAAGGGAAAATTATAATGTCTCAGAGGAGGTCAGAGGATCAAGAAGCTCAAACCACAAGAAGAATTGCTGCCAAAGGTTAAGTCTATCTTGACGGACACCGAGTCAGGACAGGAACCGGGAAGATATTTTGAGCAACTTCCCTTAGATGCAGCAAATGAGCCAAAGTAAGATGGCATGACTACAAATTCAAATAATCAGCTGGTGCGGTTTAGGTTTGTAGGTGGCCGATTCTGGAGATCCACTTGGTGCTACAGGAGCAGCATTAGGGTGGTGCTTCCTTTAGGCTGAAATGTGGGAAAGATAGCATGAAAACTTCACCTGGAGAATGGTGTCAGCGCTCTATTCCTCAGCCTTTACCCCTACTGCAGTGAAAATGGCAGGGGCCAGAAATTTTAAAAATGGCACCCAACGGTACAAACTGTGAGGCAGCTCCTGGTGCTTCAGCGTGACTGGCTTTAATCAATAAGTGACCCTTCAGAGACAGGGTCACACCAGAGGCTGTGCCACGACACACAGTGCACAAAGATTTGGAAAGCACCACAATGCAAAGCCCAGTGACTGAGGGTCATATTCCAGGCTAGCCTCACTACGTTCAAGGGCCTCCTCAGAGTTAAACTTTACAGACAGTGCCACACCTGAGGCTATGCCCCAAGACTGGACCGAGAAAGCACTCTGCAGCTAACAGTACACTCAAGCCTGAAAAGCACCACAATGCAGAGCCTAGGGTCTGATCGCCACATTCCAGGCTGGCCCGATAATCTTCCATTTTAGCAGGGTCAAGGTATGGCCTCCAAAGCTGATGTTAAGAATATGCCAATCTGCATAGCTGTTCAAGAGACCAGCTCAAGCAGCATTGTGGAAGTCTTGAATGAAGTCACAAGGGGAAAAAAATAAAATGATCACCAGTATATCGGGATCTTGACTGAAGTAATAAAAAAAATAAAAATCAGGTAAAAATCAGCAGAGCTGAGGAAAAGGGATCCAACCTTCAAGGACATGACGGCTAGAAACAGCGTAAAGCTGCCCATACATCTTGCAATTATATTTTGAAAAACCAACGCGATCGGGTTGCCGTACGATAATCGTGCATTTGATGGGAAGTGATCACAATTACAGTACAACTGGCTGAATTTCCTCGATCGTTCAGGCTGGAAAACTTTTTTCGAACTGAACGAAAAATCGATGGATCAGGTGCGTTTTTGGATGGAAAAAAAAAAAAATCGCAACAAGAACACTGCACATGTGCAAACGAAAATACTTTTGTCGATCGACAAAATTAGTATTGCTAACGAACGTTAATTGAAACCGACATTGGTTTGTGCATGATAAGCTATTTGAGCTAAAATCGAAAGAGGGTTCTTGGCACAAACGAAAATTTCCGATTGAAAATTGTAAGGTTTAAGACCACCTTTATACAGAGCTTGCCTTTAAAGGATAACTATGGGGTTAAGGCTTTTCCCCATAGTTCTCCTTAGGGTAACGGGAGGACACAAACTAGCGTCCTCCCATCACCCTAGGCTCAGTATACCGCGAGCTGTAGCTTGCGGTATACTGAGACGCCGCAGCTGAACCGGATACCGACAATTGTGCCGGGATCCGCCCAGCTGCGTGACTGACAGCTGGCTCTGCCTATCTAGAGGCAGAGCCAGCTGTACCCGCCCCCTCCCACGTCCGTTCCACCAGTCAGCGCTGGCGGATCGGAGCGGGGAATCCAGCCCCTCCCCTGTCACGGCAGAGAGCCGTGACAGGATCAAGAGGTGAGCGAACGCCAGTATGTGTTCGCTCACCTCCCGATCTACTGAGCCGACCTGTGACAGTCTCATTGTCACAGGTCGGCTAGAACTACGAGGCGAGTGAAAAGCACTCACCTCGTAGTTCTTCTTTAACTGTATTTTCTATTTGCCAGTGTTCAAACTTCCTGTAGGTGGCAGCATAAATAATCCGACCGTTTCAGAATTCCTGAATTTCTGTGTCCCTTAATGGACAATCAAGAAAAAAAAATTACTGTACCTTAGAGCTCCTCATGTGCTAAAAAATGGCACTTAACTGAGACAGCTATGCATGTTCTGCAACGCCTTTAATGGTGACTGCCAAAAGAGTAAGTAGTGACAACTAGTGATGGGCTCGGACGTGTTCGCAAGCGCCTTGTGCCGAGCCCGCCGGGAAGCTGTCAGCGCCAAGGGCTAATCACAGGCACTGAGACATGTTCCCGGTCCGCAGCTGCAGAGATCGGGAAATGTCTCAGTGCCTGTGATTGGCCCTGCACGCTGACAGCTTCCCGGCGGGCTCGACACGAGGCGCTTGCGAACACGTCCGAGCCCATCACTAGTCACAACCACATCTAGTTCTTGAGGACTGCAAAAGTATTGAGGGAGTTGGTGTTAAATAAAAGTTATTCTATGAATAATAAAATGAATGGGATGAAACCCTTTTAAGCATCTTCTACCATTAAAAGAGAATTAACGTGTACTTATAGCTAGCCAACATCTTTTTTTACCTGTGGATGGAGTATGAAATGGTTAAACCTGACAGATTTAAAAAAACATTTTTTTTGCTGTTTGCTGATGGATAGATTTTCCTTCACTTTCTGTGCCTAGATATAACAAGAAGTGAAAGGAAATCTCTCCCAAGTGAGGAGAAAAATCCTGTGAGACTATTGTCAGCGGAACCGGTCCTGTCCTGGTATCAGCTGAAAAATCCTTGACAAAAAGAGGATAAGTCTACCCAGCAGATATGAATATACACCCGAGAGATTACGAACCATTATTACACATAAAAAAAAAAAAGAAGATTTGGCTTTAGAACATTATCTTTCACCAAAGATCCAACTGTTTTCCCCAATAGCATAAAAGGTTCTCACCTATCCTGCTGCATATGGTCACTAGAAGTTCCCCTACAGTTTTTGAGTCATCTACCATAATCATTTTTGCGGCTCCATCCAGCATTCTAATTTTCTGTGGTCGTTGTTTCTTCTTATATTCCAGAACATCCTGACAGCAACAGAAGACGAGATACAATATAAACAGAAAATAAAATGTAAATTGACAAAATGATACAACACCATGATGGACATTAGAGCCTCGGATAAGGTGCCACTGAATTGTGATGAAGAACGGATCTTTAAGGCGTTTCTTACTGCATAGTTACAATGTTATAGCGTCAAGGACATGCAAAGTGATATTGTCATTAACTCTGGTAAGCGCAAACTGAGTGAGCAATTTACTGGGTAGCAATTCTGTTGAATATTTGTTGAAATTAAGACTGTTAAATATTTTGTTACTACCATATATTTGTAAAGCTCAATGAACTCTAGAAAAAAACACTATTCTGCAAACATGTTTTTATGTGTATTCAAATCTACATGGTTGATTTTTGTATATTAATGTGTTTCAATAACTAAGCAATGTATATGTAATGCATGAATAATTTGACCTCTTTTACCCCATTCCTCAGCATATAGTAATCCAGGGTCCTGCCAGCCTCCAGCCAGATTCCTTTCCTTGGGTCTTCATCTGATAAGAACAGGCCAAAATCTAGTGCTGTGGGCAAAAAGAAGAGGTCAAGTCAGATGGAGACTCTGGGGTCTGTGCCCAGCTGCTGAATGCAGCACAAAACAGTACTGTTCCTTTGAACAAGAACTTCTATTGTACAAAACAGACGCAGTACAAACAATGGAACCATATGAAAAAGCCATAAGCACAGAGTAACAGCACATAGACACAAGATATCTTAAAGGAAAACTGTATAGAGGAAAATATGGGGGCTTCCACTGCTGATCATATCCTGAAAAATGAGAGTTGCCTTAGTTCTTACTGACCCAGAACAAGCATATGGGCTAGGAAGTAAGAGGAAAGTCAGAACTTGGTCCAGTGAGCTACATATTAATTCTCAGTCAGTAACTCAAAGTACTGAAGTATTTGCATCAGTAGAACAGTCAGGCAAGAACAAAAATTGCAAGGGATGCGTTTACCAATGGCAGCCAAATGATTCTAAGCACACATTTATTCTGAGAGTATAAAAAAGGTATTTAAAATCTACACTAAATAAATATTCAGAATAAAACAAATGACAGCCATCCTGTTCATTAATAGTGATGCAAAAATGGAAGGGTTTAATTATCCTTTAATCTTGTAAAATAAAAAAATATTGTTTACAAGCCAATTTTGTTTTGGTGTTAATTCTGGGTGATAAATTGGATTATATGGTAAGCAGAATGAATATGTGTTCTTATCTAAAGTAACACACGGTTGTAGCAATAGTTGTTCGCTATTAAGAAAAAATATAAAGAAGAACACCATGCAATAAGTACGTACCTTGACCTGTCTGAGCCTCAGGGACCCTCTCCCGTATGATCCGGCAGGCATCATAGACTGCAGTTGATGGTTCAAACTGCATAGTCTTCACCACATTGCATTGCCGGATGCAGATTTTCAACGACAGGGCAACCATGGTGACTGCTAACTGGACAAAACCTGTGAAAACACGAAGAACACTATTAGCAATATGTACACATTCACAAAAAATACAGTGCATTCTAAGATAACGTTAATAAACATGCAGACATTACACTATGGGACATATTTCTAAAGCAGTAAATGTGACTTTCACCAAACATTCACTGGTGGAAAATCACTGTCATTTAAAATATTTTAACTTCAAAAATTAACTTGCAGTGAATATTTGGTGAATTTCAAATTCAGTGCTTTTTAAATATACCACTATTTTTGCTATAGATGTTATATCCAGCATGAAAATTGAACATTTAAGGACAGCTAAAAGTTACAGAATGTGAGAGAATGATTATTATTATACAGGATTTATATAGCGCCAATAGTTTGCACAGCGCTTTACAATATAAGGAAGACATTACAGTCACAATACAATTTAAGAAAAGATGGTAACGAGGGCATGATAACAGTTCTAACCTCTTGTAAGTACCCACACACATAGCTTTCCTGTGCACTCTAGTGCAGGATGTAGTTTAGTGGCTAAATAATTTTTTTGGCATTCAAATAAAAGTTGGACGATTTCTTTTCTGTGTAATTACTTGTTTGCAAGTCATTCGTGCTCTTGATCATCTTGCATACTACTATAGGACTCTGGTTTCAACAATTAGCTGGTTCAACAACATCCTGAAAGTGCAACAATCCATGCATGATTAAAACGACTGACATGAATTACTCTGTAGTGTTTGCTTTGAGCCCTTTTAAAAGCCAAACCAATTTAGTATATAAAATATACATATCAATTACAAAGATGGTGTCATGGGAATATTATGACAGAAAAGATAACATTCCACTCTGATCAAATATAGCAAAACATATAACGTTACAACACAGCAGAGAACATCCCCAGGGACACTATAACAGTTGCAGAGGAATGTGACTGAAAAGATGGACAGAAGACAAGGAAAATGTTTAGCTTAACAATACTTTGTTGGTTAAAAAAAAAAAAGGAGATAAAGTGCAAGACAAAGAGAAGGCTGAAAGATGAAGGGGTTAAAGAGAAGAAATAGAAGGCAGTGGATGGATCACAAAGATGGCTCGGTGGATTAAAATAGCAAAAGGATAGGGTTTGCTTCTAAGGAACACTGAAATTAATCGTAAACTAAGTCATAGGGAAGATTTAACATCTTCAGTGCCTGTGAAAAAGGGTGCATATGTTTAACAAATCGCATGATCTGCCCGTTTCCCAGTGGTGAGAGCAACAATACACCTTCTCAAAATGCAACAATTCCAAGAAGAAATTAATTTAACAAGCAGTGTGCGGAGACTTAACAACCATCAAAGTGTGCATTACACATCAGTGAACAGTTCAACAGAATTTACTTCATCCAAGAGTGCTAACCATGTCTTCCAGCTCTGGGTTCAAAAGGACATATGTTTATGAGGGATTGCCCAATTTTTAACTCATCACAGGAGGTGAATGTGTGTGTAACAGGGACATTAGAAAATCTGTATTATACCACATCTTGTGTAAAAAGGGAGCCAAGATAAATAGCCAAATAATGCTAAATTCTCTGTACTATTGCTGTTCTAAAAACAAAGTACAGTAGTTTTTTTTATTTGACCACTTATGTCACACATTGAACATGACTTCATGCCCAGTAACCCACGGCAGTATTAAAAGTCATATTCCCTACTAAGTCATGCCAGGTGACTGGAGGTTATCCAGAGGGAGAGAGCACATTTCTGGATTTGAAGGTTGGAGTACTATACAATGACAGAGTTGAAATAGTAAGTTAGACCACTTGTCCACTTCACATACCGAATCAGGTTTGTTAGCAAAGTGACTCGCCACCTCCTGGTAAAAATTAGCTGGAGTTACTGTTACAATTTGCTGATCTAACAAAAATCAGAGCAAAGAAAAATCTAACTTTTGTATGACCAATATAAGGGACAATGCAGAACAGATGTTCTAGCTTTAGACATACAATTCAAAAGGTTTGTTCTTAGGCTAGGTTCACACCTGCACTATACCGCACGACACCCAAGACGCGCGTCCTGGGATTGCGCGGACCTGTACAATGCAGGCGGCAATTGCAGAAAAAAGGTACAAGTACCTTTTTTGCGATAATACATGACGCGTGGCTGTCCGGCACGACTGGGGTGCCATTAGAATATAATAGCACCCACAGCGTGATCGGTTCACACCTTGGGGACTCCTGACCGCACAGAATCGTGCACGATTGCCGGGGGTTGGTGGTGTTGCCTAGGTGTGAACCTAGCCTAAAGGTCCCCACACACCTTGCGATAATCGTGCTATATTCGTACGATAATCGCGGGAAATCGTACGATTATCATAAGGTGTTTGGAAGCCGTGCGACCTCTACTACTGTAAGGTCGCACGACTTTAAACTTACGAACATGTTTGAAAACCCGCCGAGCATCGTACGATGATCGGCGGGTGTGTAGCATGTTCGTAAAATAAAAGCCAGACGGGCCGATGTGCGCAAGCGCACACTGCCCGTTCGGCATTGCGGTCATCGGAAGCCCGCCCCTCAACCAGCGCAAGACAAAAGTCTTGCAATGGTTGTAAGGTGTGTGCCCAGCCTTAGATCAGTACAACAAAGTAAAAAAATGAAGTATCCATAAAAGCAATTAAATACATCCTGTACTGGTATGCCTCCAGTAAAGCTTAGTTCTATAGGCGTTATACATATTATCTCTGACTTAGCAACAAAGTAATAATCATAAGAACAGCAATAGCAGAAAGTAGAAACCAGCAACTAATTGCTAGTACACAAAAGCTTCTTTGAAAGCAACACAGAAGTAAACATAGGTCGGACAGACACAAAAGATAGTAGGCTGCAGATCAAATGAAGCCAGGACTGCAACACAGAAAGGTGGTGAATGAAGCACTAGCCTAGGTGTGAATGGATTATCTTTGCTACAGATCTGGCAGAGATACAACAATGGGGACCACACACTTCATAACATTTCATACCATACACTAAACGATCCAGACTGAAAACAATGAGCACTAAGTGACATGGAAAGCCCACGCTGTTGTCCAAACAATGCATTCCTATAGGCATGGTATTACAAGAGAAACTGTGAACTCTAAAGGGCAAATTAAATTCAGCTCTAAATACCCAATCAGGACAGGTGAGATAAAGGCAGCAATATTTAGAACTGGAACAAAAGGGAGACCAATGCATTTGGCCCTTTGCCCCGAACAAAATTCATATCAAGTAGATGACCGTCAATTAGGGAGGAAAACAAATACTGTACTTGCTCGCTACACTTGTTCAAAATTTGTTCTGGAAACTACTTTTATAAAAACATAAAAAAGGAATTTTCTTTACTCAAAACACACAAAATATCCTTTTCTTCAAGTTAATTGAGGGACACCGGATTTAGTGACATTTGTGTTAAACTGACAACTATTAGGTAGATTTATCTGTAAAAAGTAAATCAAGGCAACTGGACTTTTTTTCTGGAAGACGTTTCGCTGGTCATCCGACTAGCTTTCTCAAATCAGAATGACTTCCATAAAAATTCTCTGGGAATATGATGAATGTTGCTCCAATGAGTTAGTAATACCAACTATTTGGGGGTCATATTCTTAAAAGAGCCACCCAGTATTGAAGGGAACAAAAGCTGACATAATTATAGCAAAGTACCACACACTCCGTGAAGCACCAGTAACAGATTCCACACCAAACGCAGCTGCAGTATATAGGACTACTCTTTAAATCTGCTCACATACACTTGTCCCCCTTGAACTCCTTGAGTGCAATTTTATAAATGTGAATTGTCTAGATAGAATTAAGCTGCAGCTGTTTTTGTGAGAGATTTACCAAGCATATTGACTAATAAATCTCGGTCAAAAAGTTTTTACACATGGAAGGAAAGCAAGCATGTCTAACCTATGTAAATTCTAGTGCATGTACCCGTTTTCAACATGGTAACAAATGCATGGCTCAAATTGCACAGATCCGCCTGCTAAATCTTCACACGTTTAATCCATAGAGCACAACTAGTGATGGTCCCTGGTACTTTAAAGCCTCTTACAGGCATGCAACTGTCGTTAGAATACCAGCCATTCATATCCCACAAGTTGTGAAATGAAACCTTATGAAACGTCCTCATTTTTCCAGGCTGCCTTTTTCAAATGGTTCTTCTAAGATTAGCAACAGAAACAACAAGCGTTTAGGAGAGGAAATATAGTACATATTCAGGTTACAGACCTGAATATAGAAAAGGGCTGACTATCAAGAAAACAGATAGCCAAGTATACATGCCCCACAAATAAGAAATGAAAATATTTAATAAAGTGCTATTCACAAACTATGACAAATGACAAGAACAATATGGTTACTGTAAATGGCAAAGCACAGCAAAGGCTAGAAAAGAAAATACATTGTTGATTTTATATCCTGCAACAAAACAAGCAAGCTGAACAAGGTCAGAACAAAACAAATGCTTTGCCAAGTTCAGTGATGGAATTTTAGGCATCTCTCGCCACTCTTTAGTGTTGGGGTTATCTACAGCAGTGTTGGTTCATCTGAGCACAGGACATAGATGGTCTAGAGCAGTGGTGGCGAACCTTGGCACTCCAGCTGTGCCAAAACTACAAATCCCAACATGCATCTGCCTCTGGGAGTTATGTCTGTGGCTGTCAGAGCCTTGCAATGCCTCATGGGACTTGTAGTTCCAAAACAGCTGGAGTGCCAAGGTTCACCACCACTGGTCTAGAGCTACCCAACTTTAAAAAAATAATAATATTACAATGCTGCAATTAGCCCTACTGCATCAACATGAGCCAGCTGCACCAGGCAGCTGGCTCTATATATATATTACACACACACATATATATGTACATATACACTGAGTGGCCAGATTATTATGACCACCCCGTCAGTACTTCGCTGGGCCACGAGACGACTCCACGAAATGACTTAGTTGGGCCGCCTCGTGACTCCACGAGATGTTGAAAGGTGATGCGAGGAATCTGACACTGCACTGTT